AAATTTTCATAATTATGTTTTTCTGAACAGCTCAATAATCATCAATTCTGTAATTGTACCATATTTTCATTATCCATTCATCAGTTGATGACAATTAGGCTGTTTCTACAACAAGTACCTCTGTAATAGATGTAGAATTCTTTGGGTATATTCTCAAGAGTGGCTTAACTGTATTTTGTGGTAGATTTATTTTCAGCTTTTGATGCACTTCCACAGTTATTTTCACAGCAGCTGTATCTATACCTGTAATGACTAGGTATTCCCCTTTCCCCACATACTCAACAGCATCTGCTGTCATTCATTTTATTAATTTTGTGCATTCTTTATTTTTATATTTTAAGGTTATAATTACTACATTTTCCTCTTCCTTTTTCCTCACTCCATACCCTCCCATGTGTACCCCTTGTGGTGGTGTTTGTTTTACTCTTTTGGCTCTTTGTTCTTTTGCGGGGCCCACTATCCAGCTATCAAATAAATTCACACATGGAGGCTTATTCTTACTTATGTGTCCAACTTATCTTGGTTTGTTTCTTGCCAGCTTTTCTTAATTTAGATTATCCAGTCTACCTTTTGCCTCTAGGCTTTCGCCTTTCTCTATTTTTGTGTACCTTTTTTTCTTACTCCATTGCTGGTTGTGTAGCTGGGTGGCTGGCCCCTGATGTCCTCCTCCTTCTCTGGCTACTTCTTCTTTTCTCATAGATTTCTCCTTCTATATATTCTCTCTGCCTGCCAGCCCCACCTATCCTTTCTTTTGCCTTGATGTTGGACATTCTTTATTAGACCATCAGGTGTTTGAGACAGGCAACGTATCACAGTATCACAGAGTTAAACCATTGCAACATAAACAAAAGTCACACACTTTAAAATAATATTTCCCCAAACCTTTGCTCTCTTTCAACTTCTTGGCATTTTTGATTAATTGTTGTTGTTGATGATGATGGTGTTGTGTTTGCATGCATCTCTCTCTCTCTCTCATCTATCTATCTATCTATCTATCTATCTATCTATCTATCTACCTATCTATCTCTATATCTATCTATCTATATATCTATATATAGATATAGATATATATAATGACTTGATTACAAACATGAACTGAACGAGAATGACACCAAGAGATATATTAACATGGATGGGGGAGTCATGGCCATTCTGACTGCTGTAAGGTGACATCTTGAAGTAGTTTTAATTCTCTTTTCCCTATTGGCTAAGGGCATTTTAAATGTTTCCCAGATATTTGTGTTTCATCTCTTAAAAAAGTATTTACTTAGCTCTATTCCCTATTTTAAATTGGGTTATCTGTTTTCTCGATGTCTAGGTAGCTAGTAAGGGACCATGGGGAAAAGGGGATCTTCCAAGGAAGGAGATATAAAACATAGTGCTATGAAATGATATAGTGGAAATTACAACATGAAGATTAAAGGATGTGGGAGGGGAAGGTAATTTTATATATATATATATATATATATATATATATATATATATGTGTGTGTGTGTGTGTGTGTGTGTGTGTGTGTGTGTGTGTGTATAACTGGTTACATATTTTCGGTTATTGGCCAAAAGAATACCATAGATTCCCCAAATTCCACAGGCTATTGCCAATTTTTTGCTTATCCTCCATATCTTGACAGTAAGAACCAATTGCTGAAGACACCACATAATTAAGGCATAGAATATGTAGAAATATAGCTTTATCTCCTACAAGGAAGCCTTTATAGTGCTAGAAGATACTATATATACTGTCATAGAAAAAAATGAATCATCAATCACAAGATATGAACACAAGTAGCTATAATAACAACCTAAGGGACTTCTTCTTGCATTAGATGGTAATTAACACATTGTTCCCCCAATTGGACAATGAGCAGAGAGTGAGATATTTTGGAGTGCTTAGCCTCAAATGGGATATCTTTAACATATTCCTCACCTCAAGGCTCAGGATTCTATGTGGAAATAAGTGGCATGACAATTATAAGAGCTAGAGGTGGTGGACAGTTTTAAGGAAACGGCATTTAACAGACCAATATGACAGACTATGACCTGCACAAGCTAAAGGCAGACATGATCTCAGAATGAAGACGGTAAAATAGGCACTTGTCCCAGTACTGGACGAGAAGCTATTATAAATAACAACTTCTAAGAGGGAAAATAACTTTTCTTCTTTGGGGATGACACTGGGTATATCAATCAGACTCCACCCACATGTCTAGCTCAAACTCTGATTTTCAGTTGCTTCATTTCTTTCTTTTTTTTTTGAAGATTTTTTTTTTTTTGGTTTTTCGAGACAGGGTTTCTCTGTGTAGCTTTGCGCCTTTCCTGGAACTCACTTAGTAGCCCAGGCTGGCCTCGAACTCACAGAGATCCGCCTGGCTCTGCCTCCCGAGTGCTGGGATTAAAGGCGTGCGCCACCACCGCCCGGCTTTTTTTGAAGAATTTTAACATTATGCTTATTGCAGCAGTGTACAATATCCAGCATTTGGAAACAACTTATATGTTCATTGACAGATGATTTGGTGAACCTGCAGATAAACAAACCCATTGCATATATAGGAGAAAATGCTATCTAGCATATACAATTAATTTTGAAAATCTATTTAACATAGATTTACTAATGAAGGAAAATAAAATGTTACTCAAGAAGACTATATCTACTATAAAATAATTTAGCAATAGTCAACAATAATGAATTGTACACTCAAAATTTAAGAACTAGGGGCTGAGGAAATGCCTTAGTGGGTTGTGTTTATAGTACAACTGAGAGGTTCTGATTTCAGATTCTGAGCACCCACATGACAGCTGGGTATAGCAACATCTGTCTGTAATCCTAGAATGACTGAAAGCAGAGAAAGGTAGGCCCCCTGGCTAGACAACAAGCCAATCCAGGCATGTTGTGAGCTCCAAATTCAGTAAGCAGTATTGTCTCAAAGAAATAATGTAAAGTGATAGAAAATGCTACACATTAACTTCTGGACTTCACACACATATGCACTGATGTGCATATGTATAACACACACACACACACACACACACACATACACACACACACACACATACACGTAGAGGTGGGGCATAGTGAGAGACAGAGAAACAGGAACTGAAGAAGTTAGACACATGTTAAGTGTTCTCAGACCAATCCAAAAATGTTTAAGTTCATAAAAAATCATAAGTAATCATGGCCATATATCTCAAAGATATTACAACTCCACTCAATATTTAATCTTTTTTGTTTGTTTGTTTGTTTTTTACTGCTTTGTGCTTTTTTATTAAATATTTTTATTTTATAATTAACTTAATTTCACATATCTGCCACAAATTCACCCGTCCTCCCTCCTTCCATCCCCCAGCCCTTCCCCCCAGTGCACCCCCCCATTCCCACCTCCTCCAAGTCAAGGTCTCCCCTGGGGACTCAGCTCAGCCTGGTAGACTCAGCCAAGGCAGGTCCAGTCCCCTCCTCCCTACACCAAGGCTGAGCAAAGTGTTTCAGCATAGGCCCCAGGCTCCAAAAAGTCAGCCAATGCACCAAGGAGAGGTCCCTGTCCCACTGCCTAGGGGCCTCCTAAATAGTTCAAGCTGATCAACTGTCTCACTTATCCAGAGGGCCTGGTCTAGTTTCATGGGGGCTCCTCAGCCACTGGTTCACAGTTCATGCATTTCCACTAGTTTGGCTATTTGTCCCTGTGCTTTTTCCAATCAAAGAAAAAGAACATGAAGTTGTGTGAGTATGGAAGTGAGGAAGATTTGGAAGGAGCTGAAAGATGAAAAAGAATATGATAAAATATATTGTATTATATTCTCAAAAATAAATGCAACTTTAAAAAAATAAAGTAAAACACATGTGTGATGATTTCAATGTAGAAGTAGTATATTATAGGTGGCAGAGAAAATTCAGGGAGAGATTTTTTTCATTAATTTTCCAAAACTAAGCTTCCCAATTTAAGCTCCGTGAAGGTAGCTGTTGTGCTTTGATTACTTAAATGCCCAAAGTCCTATAAAATTGTGTTCTGCACAAAATTAATAAATATTTTTGGATAAATGGGTGCCTAATTTATCCATGATCAACTTTGTTTTAAATCATAAATGATGCTTTGTTTGTTCTGATGTAGATTTTTGAAAAGTTATACAGGAATTGTCCTCAGGCAACTGTATTTCCCTTCAATGAACGATTATTATGTGCTAAATTAGTAGAGGTAAGCATATAATCGAACACATATAAGCAAACAAACAAACAAAAACCCAAAACAACCTTCAGGAGAACAACTTGTGCTTCCTTGCCTCAGCCATTGTGCTGAGTGCTCCCACATTAGAGAAGTTGAACAAAAGGTAGTAAAGACTTAATTAATTGTATAGGCTTTTAACTTAATCACATAGCTAATACTTCCTGTTTGCACTAGGAGAAATAGTGGATGTGCAGCTGTGTAAACCTGACTGCCATAATCGTTGTCATTTTGGATACAATCAAGTAAACAAGAAGATAAACATGTAGAAACAACACAAGACAAGTAAACTATGCATGTGATAAATGCTTTAACAAGAGAAATGTGGATAGGAAGGTTATGAGTTGAATCAATCAGTACTCACGGTGATCAGAGGATGAAGTTTTGAGGAAATTTTATTTAATAATGAAGTCTGAAAGTTCCTTAGAGGAAATTCTTCCTTGGTATTTGGATGGATTATCTGTGCCAACAAGTTTATATACCATTAAGAAAGGGATATAGCGGCTTTGGTACCCCTGCTTAAGAGCCATGAGTAGAATTGAAAATGCTGCCATTAGATGGTTATTGCCTGGATATAAACCTGAAAGCATTCTGTTCTACTATAAAACTATTTTGAGACACTATCCTCTTATCCAGTTCAAGCAAATGTTAAAACAAGGGCCTACTGTTTAAAAAGAAAATTGAGATAACATACACAGCAGGATTTCATGTGTTCTGACTACAGTTATACCTTTGTTTGTTTGATTGATTGATTGATTGATTGATTGATTGGTTTATGTTTCCTAGGACAGTCCACTGGTCTTACAGTCTGACAGGAATGTAACAGTGAATGCAAGAAACCACATGGGGCAACTCACTGGACAGCTGACAGTCGGTGAGTGTTTGGAGGTAAAGTCTGTTCATTCTGTCTTACTCCATTATAGATTCTGCGGTCAAGTTGAAATATATGAAGCTGTGTTCCTTCTCTAATTCATCACTCCTACATTTCAAAAATGTAGTGATTTTCCCTGAAATATTTTCATAGTATATCAAAATAGATTTAGAAAGCACATGAGGTAGCATGACACCATATGTCTGTGCATATTTTGATTTAAGAGAGTTACATATAAACAATTCCTTAATTCTTTTACTATAGTAAATGTTGGTGCTTCCAGTTTCTGACAAAGCTTTCTGTTAAGATTGTGTATGAAGGATTTAATATATGAAAGACAAATTAAAGAAAAAATACGAGCACTTCTGTTTGTTCTTTTGTTTTCTGACAATGCTTTGTTTTCTGAAATAGGGTGTCACATAGACTAGACTGGCCTCAAACTGGCTATGTAGGTGAGGATGACCTTGAGCTCTTGATCCTTTGGATTCCAACTCCCAGATGCTCTGTTTACACTGTAAGCAGTGCTTGGGATTCTACCAAAGGCTTCCTGCATGCTAGGCAAACACTCTACCCACTATGAAACATCATCAGTCCTAAATGATTTTACTTGTACTATCAAATAAATGTTAATTTATCTATTGACATTTTATCAAAATAGCATGTGTAATTATTTCACTCAGTTCTTATAAGGAAAAAGACAAATTAAAACTCAGTTGTAACTATGCAAATTACACATATTTGATATGCATGTAATGCTAAAATATTTTGATATAATATATATGTCTTGTGATAAAATTACATGATACTGTCATTGATTGACTCATGTTTATATTAATTTTATCAGCATTTCTATATTTAACTACATCATCTATAATGTGTGTGATATACAAACAGTGGGAAAGGGTCAACTTTTAAGTTTGAGGAGTAAATTATCCTATTTTAGTGAGGAACTAATGTTTTCAGCATTCCTAATTAAATTTTAGAGGTACAATAATCACTTATAATAAGACATTTACAAATAGGAATGTTAATTGTGTCTACCTCCTTTGTAGAAATATAAGATTTTTGATAAATTATATGTTTTAATAAAGCAAGAACAGTTTTTCAGTAAATATCTATTAATTGTCATAACCACATATTTTGTGATAAATTAAAATATGTTACTTCTGAAAAGGGGGCTTAAAATAAATTGACTAAAAATTACAGGAATAAAATATTTCTATGCATGCATAAATGTGCCAGAATCATCAAGCTCTCAATGTTAACCTCAATGACAATTTGTGATTGTTTCAAAATAGTATAAGATGGCCCAAAGATCCTGGTCTAAGCTGAGAATGTTTTCCAAGTCAAAATTTACTCATAGTTAAGAACACTTAGTAGAATAGAATTTTCTATTCCATTCATTTCAACATAGCTAAAGTGGTTCTTAGTGCACCTGTCAACAGATAAATTAAAATCACACAGACCATATTGCAAAATCCACTGTCATATAATAGTTACATAATTCCTGCCTGTAGCATGAAGCAGCTGTTTGATTACGGGGTGTGTAGACAAATGCCATCTGCATGCAATTGCATGCTTTTATGTATGGAATATAAAGTATATATTTTGCTCCTATTTTAGTCATTCTTACAAAAATCTTTCAAGGTAATATTAATATTATTCAAATGAGAGAAAAGAGAAAAAGAGAAGGAAAGAGAAGTCGTTTAATTTTAATGAACAATCACATAGCCAGTTATTTCTGTGGTTAGAAATACATTTAAATCAAGAAAACTTAAACTAAAAAATGGTGATTTGGGCATACTGTTGTTGCCTCCCATATTTTTCCTTTCCTTTGTAACTATCAATAAACAAAGAACAAATGCACATTAACTATAGAGTGAGTAATAATATATTAAATAATCTTGTATATCCAGGTGTGGTGGGACACCCTTTTAATCCCAGCACCTGGGTGATTGAGGTAGGCAAATATCTGCTAGCTTGAGACCACCCCTGTCTACATAGTGAATTCCAGAATAGCCAGAACTACACAGTGAGAACTTGTCTTAACTACAAACTTATATATTAGAAGTCAAAGTGTTTCTAGATATCTACCATTTCAGTGGGTTTTAAAAATACAACCTATATCTATTGGAGATCAAGTTTTTTTTTCTTTTCTAAAATAGATTTGACACTTTGAATAATGCTAGAAAAATGGGAGTGGTTTTGGTGTATTTAAATGGGAGGCTGTAGTTATTTGTCGAATGTGTTATTATTTTGGTGGCAGTGATTGTAATTATGATGACATTTGTTACAATGTGTGGCTATTCTGTGAACAATTCCATAATGACTTTCCATCACATTTTCTTCCGGGTGGTAGTTAGATAAGTTACACCGTCACTGTTACCATGTGTCTATGTAAACATCACAGATAAACTACACCAATGTATTAAAATCAGATTGAATCTTGGAAATATATTTTTTCCTTCCTAAAGATGAGTGCATTCTCACAATATAGTCACTCAAGTTTCATTTTAAAAAACAAATTATGGTGACATAGATATCTTTTTAAATCCTCTTTTTATACTTTTCCTCTTCCATTCAGTTTTTGTTTGCGAGCATGGCACTGATTGTAGTTCTTAGGAATGGCACTGCTTATTAATTTAAAGTATCTTACTTCTAATCAGCACATGGTTATGGACTAGAATTTCAGTTATTCTGCAAATAACCTGTTATTGCCTAACTGTGTATTGATTTCTAATGAAAACTCACAGTACATTCCAGCAGACAGTGACTATTTTTTTCCAGATTTCTATTCCTATAATGTATTGGAAAAGCAAAGAAAGTTGTCTACCTAATTCATAACATTTGTTCCATTATGCCGTTCAAAATGCTGCTTAATGGCTATGAACAAACCAAATGCCTTTCCTTCTACCTTCAGTCCTGTCTTACTTCTTCATTGTAAGTCAATTTTCCTTTTCACTTTGTATAAAAAGAGACCTGTAATTTAATCGAGAAATATGATGGGTGTGGTTTGATAATGCTAATATTAACTATTTTTCTGCCTTTGAACTGGAAACAAATTATTCCCCTTTCAATAAGTGCATAGAAAATACCATATGCATATATTTGAATGTATGTGTGTATTCATATGTACATACACTTTCAGTTTACTCAATCTAAATATTTTTAGACATTGGGAAAAAAACTAATTTGACTAATATTTGTGTGAACTTATAAAGATCCATAGTTTATGTTAAAATAGGCTATTTAATATCAAAATTTGCCTACCAAAACTACAATTCTGATTTTTTTTCATGACCATTCTAGCTTTGGAAGAGATAACCATGAACTCAAGTTTCTTCTTCCAGATTTCACTTCTTAGAATAAAACTGAAAGAAATGAATGAGATTGTTGTTGAGAAGGTTAAAGAAAGTACAACAGACCAAGAGGTCAGACTTCTTGAGGAAAAAGCAAGATCTTTCATAAGCAAGTTTCAAAATCACTTTCCAGGTCAACATTTCCTATTATTTGATCTATAATTATGTTTGTTAGTAAAACATTAATTTCTGTATAAGAGGAAAATGGTGTGTGGTTTTAGGTATGATGTGATCATATGTGTTGGGAGCCTGATGACATTGTTCACGATTTTTCTTCAAATAATATTGTAATGAGACGTTTCCTTTCCCCCTGTCCCAACCCCCTCTTCCCATGTAACTGACACAGAGGCTTAATATTACTTATAAATGCTTGGTTGATAACTCAGGCTTATTATTAACTAACTTTTTTTTTTTTTTTTTTTTTTTTTTTTTTTTTTTTTTTTTTTTTGGTTTTTTCGAGACAGGGTTTCCCTGTGTAGCTTTGCGCCTTTCCTGGAACTCACTTGGTAGCCCAGGCTGGCCTCGAACTCACAGAGATCCGCCTGGCTCTGCCTCCCGAGTGCTGGGATTAAAGGCGTGCGCCACCACCGCCCGGCGATTATTAACTAACTTTTACACTTAAATTAACCCATAATTATTATCTATGTATAGCCACATGCCATAGTACCTTTTCTCAGTACAACATTCTCACCTTGCTTCTCTGCATTTGCCAGATGCTCTGACTCCACCCTTCCTCTTCCCAGAATTCTTCTAGTCTGGCTCTAATGTTCAATCTCTTCCTGCCCAGCTATAGGCCAATCAGCTCTTTAATAGCAAATGAGAGTAATACATATTCATTGTGTAGAAATGGATTGTTTTACATTTCCCCTTTATGTATAATTAAAAAGGAATATTTTAACCTTGTTATAGTAAAACTACATGCAAGAAAAATAGTTATTAAGTACGAATTACAGTGACAATATCCAATCTATTTGCATTTGTCAAAATTAGAGAAAGTAACTATTTTATCTTGATGAGTCTAAAGTTTTGTATCTAATTTACTTTCTGTTATAACTAAGGAAAACTATAATTATAACTTTTTAATCTTCAATTCCATCAAAGACTCAGAAGAGTGAAATGTTACCTAATGACAGGGACATCAGTTGGCCTAAACAGTCACTCGTTGTCCCTTTGTAACATTGGGGCATCCAACTGTGGACTATAGGCCTAGCTATCATATCTGACAGACTTTCCTGTGAAGCAGGGAATTTTGAAGGACTGTCCTACCTTGTCTTGGCAAATTTTGATATTTACCTTTCTTGCATCCTGCTGGTCCATTTTGGACGATAACAGTCAGCAATCAATGCAAAGGCAGTTTCTTTGCCCTCATCACTAGCTTTTATCACAAAGAAAACAAGCTCCACATGGAGTTTCTTCAATGCCCATCATCCTCCTGGAAGTAATTGGTGCTGCCAGAAGCAGATGTGTCTCACTGTTGAGAAAAGTCTAAGTTCTTACAACATTTTAAATGCCATGTTCTGTACATCTTTGAAGTGTTTGAAGATTGCCTCTCTATCTGAAATATAACCCTGTATGACTTTGAAAACCTAACTAACATGACTATAAGTTTGCTATTATAGATGACTATTAATCTGTATTTCTCAA